TTTTTGTAATTTAAATTATACATATATATATATATATATATATATATATATATATATTTAAAAGAACAACCAATAATGATAAGGTAGATTCATATATCAAAGATAATATTGATTCTTATTAGTTTAATATATAAATGTGATCATCGACTCATTTAGCTAACTTCAATAATTTTTAAAAGGATTATTGTCACCATGCAACGCATGGTGTCAAACACTAGTATTATATTAAGACATCAAAATAGACGGTGGCCATGACCCCCCATAGCCCTTTCTGGGGATCCGCCACTGGTTTTGTTTCACATGATTTTCTTCGGTCTAAGAATAATATTTAATGTATTCATTAATTAACATATATTTGGTTCACAACGTGTTTGTTTAATATGTATTCGTTTCATTTGGTACCAAAAAGATACGGAGACTTACTTCACATTTGGAATCTAGCGAATCACTCATGTTATGATCTTCTACATCCAGGCACAACGACGTAATTATCAGGGGCGCGCTCTACCCACTGAGCTAATAGCCCGTCGTGCGAGGCCCCCAGTGGTTATATACATTCTCATTGTGAGAAGGGGTCAGTCTCGCCAAGCATGTTGAAAATTCGTCCGAGAGTCTGTCTTCTCCATATTACTATATCTCTAGCCAAAAATTAGGATACATTCTGGGAAAATCAAACTTCCATAACTAAGAAAAAACAAATTCCTATCCTAATTTTTATTTTGCTAGGCCCATAAATATTGTTAAATTCGAATGAGACTATTAATAAATCTGAATTGGGACCAAGACAAAAAAAGTTCAATCTTAAGTTATTCATATTTTTTTTTGTTTTACAAACACGTTAAAAATGTTCATATTATAAACCGAGTACATGTGAAACAAACACATTATAAAATAAGTATATGTTCATCAATATTTTAAGTTCTAGTTATAGGTGAAAAAAATCATATAAAATACATGAATATTTACAAAATTTTAATGTCATCGTAATTTTATAGATGTTTAAAAAAGTTACGCAGTATTATATATGTAACGTGGCAAGTTAATCGATGGTAGCATGGAAAAAGCATGATGCGAAGAGTCAAATTAGCAAAACCACGCTCCCGCCTCAAATCTGTTACACTTGCGGGGAATACACGATCGCACTCTCAATTTGCATGTGTGATCTTCTTCTGCACTGCACACACACACACACACACACACACATATATAGTTGTAATACACATATATCGTCTTCTTCATGGGCATGGTATCAGAACTGAACTGAGCTGACTCTCTCCACAAAACCCTAGACTACACTTCTCATATCTGCAACTGAAACACAGAAAATGTTTTACTCTCACCAGCTCCTTGCACGCAAAGCTCCTCTGGGACAAATCTGGTATGGAATTTGTGTGGATTTCAGTTTGATTCAAGCATTACTGCAGTTGTTAACAGTCATATTCGTTTAGTTTTTTTTTTGACGTGTGAAAAACATTACGGTGTTGTTTGTGATTGTGTGTTTTCAATTAAGCGACGCGTTATTGCAAATTATTTTAGTTTTGTCGTTGGTGTTTTGATTGATTTCTAAGTTATGTGTATATGTTGATGTGGTTTTTTGGTATGTTTGAATGCATCTGTGTTGATAAGGATGGCGGCGACAATGCACGCGAAAATCAATCGGAGGAAGCTCGACAAGCTTAACATCATCAACATCTGGTTTTCATTGATTGATTAATTGGGTTTCCTCTGTTTTCTATTTCGCTTGTCTAGTTGATGATTTTACTTTGACTGTAAAATTACAGTGAAGAAATATTAAATCCATCAGTTCCAATGGCTCTCAGGTTATCCGGAATCCTCATGGGTAATTTAGTTAACCGCTGTCAATCAGATTCATCGACGTATTTGGGATTGAAATTGATTTTTGTCAAATCGCTTTGTTCCATTCTCAGGTGGAGTCGTCATTGTATACGAGCGTAAAGTGAAACTTCTCTATGGTGATTCTCATCAATGTGCTTTATTCATTTACGTGTTTGTATGATTTCTTGCTACAAATTGCAATTAATCTATTTACAACTGTGATTTTTGTTATTTACAGAGGATGTGACGCGTCTTCTGGTGCACTCTCAACTCTGTTTCGCGATTTCTGATTTGGCTTTCTATTTACTTTATAAAAACATGGAGAAATGAATTTTACAGGTGGAAATCAACGAAGCATGGAAGGTTAAAGCTGTTCGAGATCCTACCATACTTCCTAAGGGCAAGTCTCAGGCGAAGTAAGTCATAAATTCCATCTTCTTATATTGATATCGTCAGTTTTGCTGTGTTTTTCTATTAAAATTGGCTAGATAATAACCGAGTTAGGTAAGGTATTTATATCCATCTATCTCCTAGTTTCAATTTGAACGAGTATGCGGAGGCATAGTTAAATAACCTTAGGATATACATCTCAAATTCCGTGTGATATGAAGCATTATGCTTTTGAATCTTGCTTAAATTTTAAACACAGGGAAAACCCTAGCATATAACAGCCATAGCAAGATTATGATCAGAAAAACACCAACTAATGCAGTTTCATTTGATATGGGACATCAGTAGGATTCTTATTAAGGCTTTGTAGTTCTGCCCAATGCATTTTATTGATGTAGATTCGTTTGTGGAAATTGGAATCCATGGATTTTGATTCCTAGGTTCTGAATTATTTTATCTATTGTTTTGTTATGGTAGATACGAAGCTGTTACACTCCCTGAAAACAAACCAACAGACCTAGGAGAGATTGAGCAACCTCTTCAATTTTCTAACTCAGAGACACTAATGGGGTTCCAGAAAAATTCTTATTTTGCAATGGTAAATTTGTCCATTGAAGGGATAAGAATGATCATCTCCTTCACTTTTCTTTTCTACGTCAACGTTCAAAAACAGTATTGGGCCTTTTCTTTTGTGCAGAAACTTGACAGCATAGATGAACCCTACGTCAGCCACAACCTGAGTGAAGCTGATCTGCCTCAGGATCATCATCAAGGTTTTCTAACTTCATCTGAAATTAGTTGTAGATATATCTGCTTGCAGACACATATTTTCATATTGTCAAACTTCCCCTGATGATTTCTTTGTTCTCTCAGCTGATTTCGCTGATATCACGCTATGTGAGCTGTATGATTCATACCAGGCTGATGCAGGTCTCTTCAGACAGTTTGAGAGGTTGGTTATTTAGTTGTGAATATAATGTTAATTTTCTGAAAGGTCTTATGTTGTGGGTAGTACTTGTGCTTGTAGGATATTGTATATTTGTATTGGCAAATGGAGACTTTATTGTATCAGTCTATCCTTGTACTGCTACATTTCTTCTGTTAGAAACTAACGTGGACGTGTTCCTTATTTTTAAGCTGATAAACACAGTTTATCCTTGCTAGTAACTGGTTTCACAAATTGAGTTATAATCAAAATTCATACACAACCTTAATTATATATAATATATACTTCATATTTTTCATAAGCGATTTTGCAGATAGAAAATTGAGCATAACTTGTAGAAAAATTGGCACTCGATGATATTACAGGTTTGACATTGAAGGGGACGAAGACACACAAGTGAATTATCCTTCTCATGGCCATGCAGACATGCCTAGTCTTGTGCCCTCTCCACCTCTACAAGATGAAGCTCAAATCCGTAAGTATCGGTTTATCATCTCAAGTTTTGGTCTTGTGTTAGCTGACAGTTCATAAGGTGCCTCAAAGTTATGGGTGTTTTGTCTGCTAATAACCTCTATACTAGAGATGAGACCAACTTTATATCTGCTGGTAGGAGATCTAGGAGCAAAGGGAAGTGCCCAAATAAAAAGTAAAAGAGGATGAATGTATGAGGAAGGCTGAAAAATGCATAAGATGCTCCTAGTATTTGTGCAATTAAGACTAACAATTTGGCTAGGAAGCTATTTGTACGGATAGTTACTGACCTACAGGTTCTTAATGTAGCCAATGAGATTCACGAGCAGCATCCAGGAGATCATTCCAATCACCAATCTAATGACAGCAAGGTTAATCTTCGTGTTATTCGTTGCCACCATAACTTGTAAGCATATGAATTGGTTTAAAGGAACAATGAATATTGTAGGCCCAGGATAGTCGACAGAGGCAAAAACCACCTGTAAGAAGAGGAAGAAAGTGCCCAGCTCCTGTCATGGATTATGAACAAACAATAATCCCTGGTCAGATGTACCAATCATGGCTTCAAAAGACTTCTGATATCGGCTCAAGAAGAGGAAGAAAGAGAAAAGTACGGTTTTGATTGATAATATGCACGTTTCAAGTACAAAACACTTCAGAACCTATGTTCATGTCACTTAAACTCACATCCACTGATACATAACTAACTTGCTACTTGTGCTTAAAAATTATTTGTTTTCTATGACATCTTATAGCTCATGAAAGGTATTCAATTTGTTGATCTGAGTAGTAGTTTTTTGTTTAACCACAAATATATAATGCCCAGTGTTCTATTTTTGCTATATGATTACAGCACTTGGGCAGCATGCGGTCTATGAAGATGGCCAGACTCATGGATCTACCACCAGTTGCTCTAGTTTGTGGCTTACATACAAATGGAAATGGGGATATCTATTATCCCCTTCCTCTATTAAAACTATGGATGAGAAGTACTCAACCTTCGCATCATTCTCCTTCTGGTTTGTCTCCTCTAACAATAACCTACTTCTGAGTTCAGGTGTTGTTGGTATCATAGTGGAGTAATTAGCAATGTGATTTCAGGGAAAACCTCACCACCTCACCCACCAGCACCAGCACCATCATCATCATCACCTCCAGAAGGAAACGATTATGATGTGCAAACAAGATTTGTAAGGAATCAAGCATTTGCATTTGCATTTGTCTAGTCAATAGTGGCAATTCCTCCTCATAATCTAGTATTTCAATCTTTAGCCTTTTGAAGAGGGGCATAGTGGAGTTGGTTCAGGGTCATTGGGGCTATCCATAGAGAAGCCAAGGGAAAATATTATGGAGATGCCTTCTGAAATCCTGATGGAAGAGCTGAGAGCCAACCTTATGAACAATGGAGTAAGTGGGACAGTAGCTGAAGCTGACATGATAGTTACTCCTTCAAATTCTGGTATATATGCTCAACTTTTTCATATCTATAAGTCAACACTTAGTTTAGTGGGCAACGGTTTTTAAGTGTTATTTTAAGTAACAGGTGGGGAAGTTAGATCCATAGGAAGCTCAGAATCAGGACATGGGTTTATGTCAGATGTCAATTCTGGAAGGTTAGCGAGTGAGTGACTAAATGTAATGCATAATGGATTTTAGGGGTAGGTTGTGAGTAATTGGTTGATGCATGCAGGTCCAACAAGAAGAGAGGTTTGTCATCATCTAGAAGAAGTGGGAGTAGCCTTGAACCAGTGGCAGAGGAGGTGTCATGGGATCATCCTGATCCAAATTTCAAGTTGGCTAGACTATCTGAAAATGGTTATGGTTTGGCCTTTCGTCTTCATTCATTTTCTACCATTATATCTAGTTCACTCACTAGTCCTAATTTAGAATCGTTCAGACCTGTTAGTAGAAAGTGGAGGAGTAACACAAACCCAAAAAGTCCCGCTACCTGATCCACCGGTCGAGAAGTTAACCGAGTCTATCCGCATGTATGTTGCAATACTACTTTATTATTATTTTGTGTTGGTTAAATGAGAATATGTGGAAGTGATACTGATGCGCAGGCAACTGAAGACGCATTTTGATACACCGGGATCTGGTGAAACCGAATCACTTAACCAGCTTGCATTAGGATTGAACAGGATAAAGGCTGCCTGTCTATTTTATCAGACTTGTGGTATGTATGTTTCATACTCTTGTTCATTTTGAAATGCTAATTATATATTGTGCGTGGAATATGTGTGATTGCAGTTTTGGCGTCTCGTGATTTGATAAGGGTAGAACAGAAGGTTCCTTATGGAAATATTTTAATTGGTAGGGGTAGCAAGATGTGAAGTTGCTTAACTAGCTAATTTCCGTTCATAATCATATTCATATATAGAGTTAAGAGTTACAATAAGAAAAGGTCTTGGAGAAAGAAACGTATGTATAACTTTTCCAATATCTATTCCTTTGTTCACCACTTATATACATATGAACACACTTGAATTCCCCAACACCAAGAACGGGCCCACTATATAAGGTGCCTTTCTTTCTCATGAAAGATGTCAATTCAATTATGTCATTGTATAGTTGTATTATTTTATTAATAATAATAATAATAATACAAGTTTCTCTTTGTTGAGTTGGTATGGACGGTGTTTTTCCCCTTACGGGCACGCATTTTGATCTCACTCGTATCATTTTCTTAGTTTTTATCTTTTAATTTAAGGTTTATTATATCATCGGAAGAAAATTGGGATAAGAGATTCAAACACTGAACGTCATATAAAAGAAGTAATGAACTAACCAATAGATCAATAATTAATTTTGTAAAAAACATCAATACTCGTGATAAATAAATATGAATGTTTTTAACTGAATGGTGAAAAAAATGATTCTAATACAAGATGGTGCAAGTTAACATGGATTATGGACGGTTGTTAATTGTAGTAATTAAGGGGTTCTTTGGTTAAGACGAATGAAAATGACAGGTTTTTAACTTAATGAAAACTAGTGTTTGACACCATGCGTTGCATGGTGACAATAATCTTTTTTAAAATTACTGAAGTTAGCTAAATGAATCGATGATTATATTTATATATCAAATTAATAAGAATCAATATTATATTTGATATATGAATCCACCTTATCATTATTGGTTGTTCTTTTAATATATATATATAGAGAAGCGATCAAATGAAAACCACTCCAATTTGTAAAAACCGTAAAAACTACTCTCATTCATCGATTTTATTGTTTAATCTTATGAAATTTTTTCATTAAATTGTTTCATATAATACTTTTTTTTATGAAATTGTTTCATATATGGTTATGAAATTGTTTTATATATTACTTAATGAAATTTTAATGAAACTGTTTCATGTATTTCTCTAAAATTAAAATAATGAAGATGATAATATCCATGATTAACAACCTTCACAATAAAAATGAT